AGATGATAAATCCTCTAAGCTCTATGAAAATGAATTTGCATGAAGTGAACGAACAGCTGCAAAGGTAAAACGAGTTTACATACACATCAATAATACAAAAACTGGAATGAAAACTAACGAAAAGAAAAACCCAGGGTACACGACTCAAAATAGGCGGACTTCCCAATTCTTCAAGGATAATTGGAAAGAAACCGCAAGTAAAGCATTATTGGCAAATCACTTGAAAACGGTCTTTATATTATAACTTCTAGATCTAAAAAAAGAGCTGCTGTAACAAACGTACAGACATATAGTGATGGAGCACTCAAAGTAAATATGCAGAAAAAGGTAAAACTCTCGGCAACTCACAAATGTCGTTTATGAGCTAACACCAGGCGCTTCAATACCATTCGCTTGTTCACAACTATTAGGTTTGCCAAAAAGTACGTTTGCCATGAACAACGCCAAATCAGCATTCGTCCAATAACTGAAGTGGCTCTTCAACACCGACCAGTAACTCTTATCTGTCAGCGCAGGCTAAATGTAGGGTTCTACGGGTAAGCTGAAGATGCAGATGAAGAATGAACTAAACACCTGCAGCTGAAAATCTAAGCGATGTGGAGGGCGAGTTCCACTACCGAGCAATCGGTCTGGCAAAGGTAATTCGGACTATAAATTATGATAATAAGTCTGAAAAAGCAGTTAAAATTTCTAACTGATCGGACCTCAGCTTCCTTTGCCATCTCCACAGGTTCGGAATTATTTGGAGCTGCTTTCTCTATCACGTTCTTCTTGGGAGCAGAAGAAGTGAATGAGAACCACCCTTTCTTCGCAGGTTTTTCCACAGAAGGCACATCTCCTCCTGGTGGTGGTGTAAGACTTCTGGGAGAAGAACCTGGAATTTGCTAAATTTTTCCCGAATCCATAAACAAACTATTTTAGAACACCACTCGGAATGTTGAGTCACTACCACCCTTATGATAGGTAAATGAGAAAGTATAACCCTTCAGCTAGAAGGAACCAAAGGAGAGGATAGTTGAGTTCGACTCACAAACTAAATCTAAGACAATCTTAGCATGCAAAACTCAAACACCCAGTGTCACTGGGAGAGAACGCGTTAGCTTTAGAAAAACTTGCCGG